CCGGTCGTTGAAAGTTGGTATTTTTGAACTCCCGGATCCCAATCTACTTCGAGCGCCTTCCTACTTCAAGAATCGGCATGCTTTTGCTGCTGTGTTTTGTTATTCTCTGGGAGGGCCTGGACCCAATCCACTATATCCGCCTTCCTACTTCATGTTTTTATCTACTTCTTCCGACCGACGTGTAGCCCCGTCTTCAGACCCAGCTCCAACCCATCCCCAGCTCCAGCTCCAGCGCTCCCGCTTCGCTCGCGCACCAGCTCCAGCTCCAGTGCCAGCTTCCAGGCCCAGCCGTAGCACCAGTCCTAGGTCCAGCTCCAGCTCCAGCTGAGCTCCTCCCAGTTCCAGCTCCATCTTCAGCTCAGCTCGAGCCCAGGTTCGGCTCCAGCTCAACTTAGCCGCAACTCAGGTCCCAGCTCCGACTCCAGCTGCAGCTCAAGATTAGAGGAGCAGCGAAGCGGCCTGCCGCGGAAAAAGCTGAGGCGGCCCGCGTGCCAGGTGATGAGGGATACTTCGGACATCGGCCACAGCGAGAGGGTGGCTTTCCACAGGGAGGTCAACGTGCTGGCCAAGGCGATTCTGCCCATGGGATGAGAGAGCACCTGGGGCATTATTCTCAAACGCCCCTGAGGGCCAGAAGATGAGATTGACAGTGCAGGACGAGGAACATGTGGGCGAGGAGTTTTCAAGTTCGACTATGCAGTCAGACGCTGTTGACTTTGAGTGGACAGTGCTAGTTTGTGTCAGCCGCAGCTTCCTAGTAGAACTGTTGGATAGCGTGTCTTTCCACCAGTTCTGGCCCACGACGCTTCGACGCGACACGCCATCCACTGTCCCGTTCTCAAGCGTCAATGGCCCGAGCTTTTCCGAGCCTCCCGCCCCGCGGAGTGGAGCGACACGCTGTCCGCTCGCAAGGCACATTTGCGTGCCGCCCGGGCCGCCGCGGCGACGAGCTACTCAAAAGTTTCCGACCGTACGATCTTCATTTGTTTCCAGCGTTGCGACGGCGGGGCCAATGGTTCGGCACCACAGGGTAATGTACGCGGACGCCTGCGGCCGAGTCATCTGTTTGCTAGCTCCTCGTGGCAGACGAGCTGTCGAACTTTAGCTGGTTCGCAGGCCATGTCGTCGCACGACACCTCGGCTCAGCAGGGACAAAGTGCTTGCCGCGCCGGAGGAGCGGCAATCAGAGATTACACCTGAGCATATCTCGGGTCAGTGGAGTTGTTCCATAACTGCCTTCAAGTTTGCCGTCCATGCAGAGGAGGAGGACGACGAGGACCTATACATCCGACGTCCTGGTTCTCAACACCTGGGTCCTCCAGGCTCAATCTGTGCCCGCTGGAGGACCGACACCTTCCGTGCGAGGCTGCGGAAGCCCGCTTAGCGCTTTCGCGCGGAGAATCCTGGCGACGGTCCGGCGCGTGCGAGGGCTCGACGCGATGTGCCGCGGCGCCGCGCCATTTGCGCAAGGATCGCTCGCTGTGATGAAGGACAGGGGTCCTGAGGGAAAGGTGTCCTGGAGTTTTCCCGTTTTCAAGGTCTCAGGGCCCTCCTCCGAGGCAGGGAGCTGTTCAGAACCACCGCCTAGCGGATCGACCTTCGGGGACCTCGGCAGTCGGTGGATGATACGTATGAACATGTTACGGCCCTGGGGTTAAGTCGGGCATGTCCCTCTACAGGAGGTCTATTCAAACATACTTTTCTAGATAGTCAGGGGACGATGTTTTTGCTATTTTGAACTTGATCTGAACATTTTTTAAGTATGTGCAATTTTTCCTCCCAAATCCGCGTGTAGGGGGACATGCCTGACCCAACCCTGGGGGCCAGACATGTCCATATCCACCACATGCCGAGGTCGCCGCCGAAGGCCGATCCCTGAGGCAGGCAGTGTTCGTGAACATTGCCCCGCCTCGCGCCTCCACCGGCCCCGGGACCGTCAAGGAGCGTCAAGATAGAAGTCGGGATGAAGAACTGGTTCTGGGGGATGGTCCCATGGTTCGGGCCGGACGAAAAGGGCGGATTGGGAAAGGGGGGGTTACGAAATTTGCTGCGTGCAGCTGGTTTCGGCCTCACCGAGGAGCCCATTCCTCGATACATGGCCGCCTCCGGCGCCGGGTTGGCGCCGGGAAAATCAGCTACGTGAGCTGATTCTCAAAACCCCCCTTGGCTATCCCCCCCTTTCGCCCGACCCGAATGATGGTCCAGGACCTGCCGCCCTCGGGAACCGATGCCTTCCTTCCGAAGCGTACTGCGCCGTAGCCTGTGCCCATGCGCCCCCGACCTCAGCATCCGCACGGAGTTCGCACCGCGGGGCCGGTTTTTTTTTCTGTGAGCACCAGTCAACGGCACCGTAACGGGTACTTACTAACGGGTACTTTGAATGTTTGCCGAAAGTTGCCACTTTAGGGCCTTTTTCTTGCATTGCAGCTTTGCCCACATCGGGAAGGGTTGGGTTCGCTGGGTCACTGGCCAAAGTACCCGTTTGTGGAGTCCCCATTTGAGGGGCGCTGAACCAGGGTCCAGGATCGGCGTGCGGAAACCCAACGCCAGAGAAGTAGGATCGTTTTGAGGTGTTGTACGCCAGAGGTTTGGGGATGATAGGGTGCGATCGATCCGAGGCGATGTCGATTGCGGCTGGCTCGATCCGATTCGATGAATTGCGATATTCCGCAGATCTGATGCGGCCCTATGCTTTAATTGGGTTGTTGTGCATCTTGGCGTTGCCGATCCAACTCGATTTCGACTCCGTGCCAAGGTGGCCCAATTCGACGCGCATTCCGAGTCAATCCGGTTTCCAGGTTCGATGCTGGCTGATTTGGGGGTGAGGAGCTCATCTCTCGTTCTGGGATTATGCGCCATTCGTTCGGCTGCCGTGGGCCGAGGCTTAGATTCTGACAATCTGGAGCCTGGGCCTTGCGCGGCCGGCAGTTTGTAACGACTGCCGTTCCGTCGCTGCCAGTCGTGAGAATGAAGCGGTCAGCAGCAGCAGAAGGACGATCATGACCTAATGATGTTGCGAAGCTGAAGGAGCAGCAGCAGCAGCTCTGGCAGGATGTCACAACGGGTTTCCGTTCAACGATCGCACACACTGTGTTTAAAGAGGAGGGTGAAGAGGAGGAGAGGAGGAGGAGGAGGAGGAGGAGGAGGAGGAGGAGGAGGGAGAGGAGGGGGAGGAGGAGGACCAATGCAAAACCAAGAGTCATCAACGATCTTGGAATTAACCCTCCTTCCAAGCTCCCTCCTCACAGGGCCCCACAGCGGTTCATTTCCATTGAGGGAACTGCCTCGTTGCAAGACATACGTTTAAAGATCCTGAAGCATGCCAAAACATTGTTCTCGGGATTTCAACGCCACGTATAAACTTCACTGCTGCGTCTTGACGATTCGGAATCGTGCCAGAGCGCCAGTTTTGGGACGTCAACACCGCGAATCAACATAACTGTTGCACCCGCATAATCTTGAATCCTTCCAGAACTTCATTTCTGGTACGTTGATCGTGGGAATCCGTGAAACTCTTGCAAGTATTGAAAACAATCGTGCGCGGCGTCAAGGTGAGAGCCACATTTCGAAAAGGAACCGTCCTCGATCCGTGAAGCTTTTTTTAAACGAATGTGCGCGGCGCTACGGCGTGAGCCACATTTTGAAAACCAACCGCCCTCAATCCGTGAAGCTCATTTTTAAAACGCATGTGCGCGGCGCTAAGGCGAGAGCCACATTTTGAAAACCACCCGCCCTTAATCCTTGAAGCGCTGGCAGATTCTGAAAACAAGTGTGCGCGGCACTAAGGCGAGAGCCACATGTTGAAAACCACCCGCCCTCAATCCGTGAAGCTCTTGCAAACGTTGAAAACGAATGTGCGCGGCGCTTCGGCGAGAGCCACATGTTGAAAACCACCCGCCCTCAATCCGTGAAGCTCTTGCAAATGTTTAAAGCGAATGTGCGCGGCGCTAAAGGCGAGAGCCACATGTTGAAAACCACCCGCCCTCAATCCGTGAAACTTTTTTGAACGTTTAAGCTTCAGAGTCATCAGTGGTGAGGAAGTCTCAGACGAAACGCCCGGCCCGCCCTAAAAACTAGCTTTGGGGTGCGACAGGGAGGAGTTATCTATACGGAGAAGGAATGGAGGAGGAGGAGGAGGAGGAGGAGGAGGAGGAGGACACTGCGGAGGAGGAATGGGGAGCAGGAGCAGGATGCGGATGATGAGGAGGGACAGCCTGGCGGGGGAGTGAGAAGGAGTGATGATGAGGGGTATCATGTGGATCAGGAAGAGGCGGATTGAGGAGGAGTGAGAGCCGCGCGCGCTGGTTTTGATGAGGACGTGTCTCCAGGACGTCTCCGCCCCGCCCATGGGTCTGCGGGAGCGCCAAGAATCGGGGGCTATAGACGGGGGTTGCGTAGTCCATGTGGGTTCAGGCAGACGGTCTTACACTTTCCCTGGGTTTGTGGCTGAAGTGGTGTTCCGCGGTGCGGAGTGCTGTTGTGTTCTCACTTCTGAAGAATATATATATATATATATATATATTCTTGATTTCTTGATTCCACGCAGCCGAAGCCCATTGTGTGATTTTGAATGTAAGTGCCCACCGTGGTTCTCGCCTTACTTAGTGGCGATGTGTCCCCCGGTTATAACAAAACGTCTCTCGCCCGAGACTTCCTCACAATTGTTGTTGGAAGGCATCGCGATCTAGCTCGAAACGTGATTGCTATTTACTCTAGCATCGCGCTCTCGATTGAGACTTCGTCAGACTGCCCCTGAGAATCGTAACCTCCGCGCCTCAAGAGTCGTGCTCTCGCCTGGAACTGCCACACTCGACTCAGGAATCGCCATCTCGCCACTCAGGAACTGCGCATTCTCGCAGGATCCCCTCACAACTTACCCAGGACTCGCGCTCTGACCCTAGAATCCCCACGATCTGCACAGGAATCGCGGCTGGATTTCGGCCCGCTCGGCCCGCCCACTACGGTCCGATCGCCCCGCCCGTCCGGCAGGGGCCGCCTGC